AACAACCCCCAGCTCCCTTTGGAACCCATGCGGGTCCATCAGTCGCCGGGGGCGGACCATTCGAATAGGTCCCACCTCCCTGAGGAAGGTGGTTGAGAAAGTGGTGGCATCACAGCTCCAAAGTGTTCTTGAGGAAATGGATTATCTGGACCCTTTCCAGTCAGGTTTCAGGCCCAGTTATGGAATGGAAATGGCATTGGTCGCACTTACGGATGATCTCTGGCGGGAGCGGAATGGTGGAAGCGCGACCATCCTTGCTCTCCTTGATCTCTCAGCGGCTTTCGATATCATTGACCATGGTATCCTCAGGGACGACTCAGGGAATTGGGGGTGGGCAGCACGGTCTTGTGGTGGTTCACCTCCTCTCTTCAGGGCCGATCCCAGTCAGTGGTGATAGGGAGTGAGAGGTCCCATCCTTGGCCCCTCCTTTGTGGGGTGCCGCAGGCTTCGGTTCTCTCTCCTCTCCTTTTCAACATCTACATGAAACTGCTGGGTGAGATCATCCACCATCATGGGATGAGGTATCATCAGTATGCTGATAATACTCAATTATACATCTCCATCCCAGGTGAGGTAAGTGATGCTGTGACTGCCCTTTCATGGTGCCTGGAGGCTGTAAGGGTCTGGATGGGGAACAACAGGCTTCAGCTGAATCCTGGTAAGACGGAGTGGCTCTGAGTTAATGGCTCCTCTGTATCCGGGACTGTGTCATCTTTGGTGCTAGCACTGCCCCAGACAGACCCAGTGCATAATTTGAGGGTCCTCCTGGACTCACGGCTCCTGCTTGAAGAGCAGGTGGCATCCGTGGCCAGGAGGGCCTTTGTACAACTTTCCTGAATCAGGATGCCCTTTGAACAGCCACTCATGCCCTTGTTATCTCCCAGATAGACTACTGCAATGCGCTCTACATGGAGCTACCCTTGAAGAGTATCTGAAAGCTACAGTCCAGAATGCAGCCACATGGGCTATTTTTGGAGCCCCAAGAAGGACCTATATAACACTGTTGCTCCACGAGCTGCATTGGGTACCAGTTTGCTTCTAGGTCCAATTCAAAGTGTTGGTTATCACCTTTTAAGCCCTACATGGCATGGGACCAGGTTACCTGAAGGACTGCTTCTTCCCCATGACTTCAACCCGTCCCACCTGATCACACAGAGAGGGCATGCTCTGGACCCCCTCGGTAAAAGAGCTCCAACTAGTGGGGTCCAGAAGGGGGGCCTTCTCTGCTGTAGCCCCCGCCCTTTGGAACATCTTGCCCCCGGAGATGAGACAGGCCCCCTCACTCCTGGCCTTCCGGAGGGATTTGAAGACCTGGCTCTGCCATCTGGCCTGTGGGAGGGGAGGAAACATCAGGTGTGGGGATGGCTAGCCCCTTAAAGGTCTGGTGTTTGCTGCTCTGAACCATCGGCTTCCTGGACTCTTTAGTAATTGTTTTGTACAGGTTTTAGGTTTTATGGAATTGTATATTTATTTATTGTTTTAATGAGTTGTGAGCCGCCCATAGTCCCCGATTAGGGGGAGATGGGTGGGTATAAGTTTAATAAATAAGAAAAAAATAATAAATAAGATATATGGTAAAACATTGCATGGTAGGTTATCACCAGTCAAAAGAAGTTTTGTAAGCACAGTTCACTGGAACTTGTATGTGAGCTATCTGTTTGAACTGTCAGGACTACCACATCTCGAATGCAAACCTCTAGATAGCCACTAGATGGCAGCAAATAGAGTGTTATCTCTTTCCTGCCAACTAATGATTATCTTAATTTTGCAGCCCAGATGTGGTAGCCCTATGGACAATATTAATTAACAGATGTTAAGTAAACTTATAATTTGTCTGTTAAAATCATAATAGTACTGATCTGACCAAGTGATATTAATGTGATTTACTTGGTATTTAAGAGAATTGTTCTAATCCATATCCATTTGTATGACAATATTGGATCGGTGTCACAGAAAATACATTTCATTGTTCTGCTAGCAATGGTTAATTAATTGCAGTTTACTGTGACATAGTTGCATCAAATTATTCAGTCAGAAATTCAGAAAATTCATCCTTTGTGACTTGTCAAGTATGTTAGTGTGATTATGGGACTAATTTTTTCCTCCTTTATTTTTAAACTCTGGAAATATATTCAGTCCTTCACCACACTGCCTCTCTTCAGTTACTTTGAACAATCATGTCTATTGTGGGAAAAAACAACCCTACATTTACTCTGAGCTTATTTTAGGTTTTATTTTGTGGGGTGATGTGTTATAAATATAAGTTGAAGAGCAGATTAAAAATAATAATAAAAAACACCTTTGCAAAGTGACAGACAGAATGAAACCAAAATAGTAAGCTTAGTTGTATCCATTAATAATACCACTTTAAGTATGAGTCTAAGTCCTGAGGCAGCCTGTTGTCTATAGTGGTTAGTATATTGGGGTGGGGGAGTAGATGACTTACATTGGGTCACTCAAGTCAAATTTGAAATCTAATTTGTAGGAACAGTGAATAAGGTACTGTATAGGTAGGAAAGAATTTATGTTGTTCTCAATCTTGTATCTTCTCCATGAAGCTCAGTTAAATATTTTATTAATGTGGAGTTAGAAGACTGCAAAACATTTCTTGCAATAGGACAATTAAATTTATTTGAGTGTTTTCTAGCCTGTAGTTTCACCAGGAAATTGTCTATTGGATTTAAAGCCCTCAAACTCTAGGCTTGAACCTATTGCCAATCACAATGAGATAAGTTGGTAAAACAGTAATTTTGGAAGGATGGTGGAATATAAGGATTGAGAATGCCTACATCATAAGTCTTCCCAAGTCTACTGGAAACCAGTAAAAACCTTATAATGTTGATGCATTCAATATACTTCTGTCATACAGCTAGTCTCTTCTTAGTGCTTTTGGTGAAATAATACATATGTATTTGTTATTCCCAGACTTTGAAACAGGTTGGCTCCTTCTGGATTATATTAGTGTGAACAGGAAAAATATTTTTATTAGGGACCTTGTTTGTTGGTAGGCTGGTATGCCTGTTAAGCTTGACAAGTGTTGCCTTTTTAAAATTAATGTGTTTTTAGAGTTTCGGTAATGTTTATTTTCCGCTTAGCATTGGCTATCTTACATGGAAAGAAGGTATATAAATTAATTAAATAGTACCTACATTAAAAAAGGAAGACATAACTGGAAAGCAAGTCAGTGGCTCTCTCCAGGCCAGGAGAGATTAGGAGATTTGCCTTTGGCTGAAGCCAAAAAGAGACCAATATCGCCCTTTCTCCTTCCTCACACCTGCCCACATAGGCCTGGTGACTACCTAGATTTTTTCAATATATGTGAAACTGTATTTTAGAATCATTGAACTGAATCTTTATTTCTACAGGGAATATTTGCCGGTCTCCCATAGCTGAAGCTGTTTTTAAAAAACTTGTAACTGAGGAAAACATTGAAAACAAGGTAAACTTCATTTTAATCACTCAAGCCATTTTTCTGCTAGCATTATTTAAACGAATCACTTTGTTTTTCTGTAGTGGAGGATAGACAGTGCAGCAACCTCTACATATGAAATAGGAAACCCTCCAGATTATCGAGGCCAGAATTGCATGAGAAAACATGGCATAATTATGAATCATATTGCCAGGCAGGTACTGTACCCATATTCTTTTAAATGTGTGTCTACCTATGTTCTTATTGTTTGCAGTGGATAATAGACAGTGGTGCTGTTTCTGACTGGAATGTGGGACGCTATCCAGATCCAAGGGCTTTAAGCTGTCTAAGAAATCATGAAATTGAAACAGCTCATAAAGCACGACAGGTAGAAAGAATTGTGTTTTTTTCAGGAAACCATGGGCTTGTCTATACACTGCAACTTTTTCTGTTCTGTACAAGGGTGGATAAAGTATTAAATATTGAATATTCAGTACAACATCTTTGTAAAATTGAAGCCAAGTTATAGATACTGATAACACTGTAACCTGATTCAGATGCCACCTCTGTATGTGGGGTTTTGCTACAGACCTTTACTGGGGGTGTGATTAGCCATTTCCTCAGTTTGGACAAATACTTTTGGACACCACTTTGCTTGGGTTTACATGTGCTGAAGAAAGTGGAGTCCAGGGCAGATTAAAATGATTTTTTTAAAAAAAATCTAACTTCAAAAAATGTAAATAGGATTTTTTATTTAACTCAGATTTTAAACTCTGCGTAAAATATGTAATCATGAACATTTCGCTATATTCTACTCTACTAGTATAGAGATGAGAAATGTTAATAGACCTTGTAACTGACTTCTTTCTATAAATGTAAAGACAAAAAAGATCAGTGAGTCTGGATATAAATAAAAGGGTTAGAAGGAGAAGGAGAAACAGTGAACACAGCACCTTTCTGCAGTTTTGAGAAATGAGTGTTACTATGAATTCAATCTATTTGATTTAAATCAGATTCTCTCTACTAGAGTCATTACTAATTACTGTCTTGGATCCCCTTCTTAGCCCAACTCTATTTCTGGTAAATTATGCAAATACTGCAAATTATGTGATCACACAGATGGCTTTATTTGCATATTAGAAATCTGTTGAACATGAAGTCCATTAAATCAAGATCCAATGAATTGAGGTGTCACTGTAAATACCATTAAAGCAAGTTTTCAGTTAGATTCTTTTAATAAATGTCTTGTGATTAGGAGTTGTATCCAACTATTTGTTGCGGATGTTTGGAGGATATTTTTTATTATATTCGCCAAAAGAATGACCATCACCAGTTTTGATATTATACTAATACCCTTGTTTCTTTCTGGGTGGCATTCTTCAGCAAACAACAAAAAATATTGCTTCTTGTTCAAATAGCAATCTTGTGCATTTTTGAACTATTCATAAATAATCTACTTGCAATTTTTTCTTCTTTGGTTAAAAATTAAATATATCTATTGAATTTTAGATTACGAAAGATGATTTCTTGACGTTTGACTATATTCTTTGTATGGATGAAAGCAACCTACGGTAAGTAATAAAAGCTGTGAATTTTGCTAATCAATTTTTATATTCCCCACCATTCTCTCTTCTCATCACTTAAAGGAAAGCCCTGTTAAATTCAGTGGTGCTTCTTTCTAAATAGACGTAAGATCTTATAAATTAGGATGTATAAAAATATTAGAGCGGAAACATTAAGTTGTGAAAAACAGGGCTGACTACAGTTGGTCTCCTCTCTTTTATTACACAGCTCTTCTAGGGCCTTTCTTTATGTCTAAAGCACAGGCACACCTCAGAAACCTCTTTTCTCTGCTGCGTCTCTTTGACGTTACTTTCATCTTGTCCTCAGTCTGTATCTGGGACATTTTTAGGTGGTCATCAGAATTCCAGTTTTAAGTAGTAGATTTTACCCATTAAGCAGGCCGCAAGCTGTGGCAGTTTTACAGTGGGTGCAGTTTTACTGGCCATTCTGTTACAGTGAGGTGATTCCTAGCACCTATGGGCCACTTTAGCTGGTGCCGGCACACCCTGTCCCCTCTAATATCTGAGCAAAGAGACCTAGATTAGTCCAAATAGTAAGCTGACCACTACCAGTTCCCTCTCTGCCACTACACACTGCAGCTCCCTTCTGCCTTGTTTGTCAGCTGTTGCTTAGACTGCTTTTGAACAAAGGTTTAGCACTCTTTCAGAAGAACTTTAAACCTGTATCCAATAGAAGGCTGAGTTCTCTTTGAATGAACTTGTGTGAATGAACATGTGCACAAAGCCAGAGTGAGTTTTAGCAGATGCTAAACCTACCAGCCTAGCCATCTGTTAGAACTAAACTTCCTCCCCAGCCCCATCCCACATTAAGGAGTGGTAAATGTTTTCCTGGTAGCTGGTGATGCTTGATGGATCAGGAAGGAAACAAAGCTGGGGGAATCCACCTGTCCTTTTTCTTAACATGGCCTGCACACAGCAAATAAAGTCACCACCATTTGGCAGCATTATGCCTGTGGTAGGATAGGTGCAACAAATGTTATGCTGGTTAAAGGACTGGTGGATAGCACTTTAACTTGGCTGTGGGGAAAGGTCATAACACAGCTCCATTGCCTCATCCCCAGAACTTTCATTGCAATTCCATATTCAACAGACAGACTGACATCTCTTAACTGCACCTTCCCTGTACATTCATACATCTTCCTCTCGCTTTAGGATTCTCTCTTTTACATCAGGCTGAGGGGTGGATCATGAATTAGTTGTGGCTTGTCTACTTTAAATGTTCCATTCTGACAATTATCCTTTCTGGATAATTGCAAGAGGTCAGCCATTTCCTACTGGCAGGTATCCAAAAAAAGATGCAGTGACATTTTTACTTGTGATTTTTCATCCCATTTTATTGGATGAAAGTAAAACTAAGATTTGTTGCTTTTTCCCCCCAATTTTCCTTCCAACATGAATTATTAATACATTTCCGTTTACATTTGGCCAAATGCTTGAAAACCATGGAAAGTTCCTCACCATGGATCTCATTGTGAATAGATGCCTTTGTTGTCAGGGGACTACATTACACCATTAAAAGTGCAGGTGTTTCTTTTATATATAGTGATACTGATGAAAAAGATATGCCTTACTTAATAATAATGAAAAGTTAACTAATCTATTGTATTGTAGAGATTTGAGAAGAAAATGCAATCAAATTAAAAATTGCAAAGCTCAGATTGAACTCCTCGGTAGCTATGATCCACAGAAACAGCTTATTATTGAAGATCCATATTATGTAAGTATTTTCCCCATTTAATCTGTTTAATCACCATTGCTATCTTAAGAGAAAAAAATTGTTTGTAATTTAGGATTCTGTGTTTTCTCTTTTTTTTCCCCGCCTCCAGGGAAATGATGAAGATTTTGAAACTGTTTATCAGCAATGTCTCAGATGCTGTAAAGAATTCTTGGAAAAACCTCATTGATGTGGTTATGTTTATGGAAATCAATAATTCTGTAATATTAGTCTGAAATCTGAATTAACATTAAACTATGATAGTGTACTTCTAAAATAGATACATTTGTGTGTTCTTAATTTTAATTTTGTAGTGCACCTAATGTGTATATATTATTTGAGAAGTAGTTTTTTCAAAATCAAATTGATCTTATCAAACATATCATGAATGAATACTGTGCTGGTCATCTATGTAAGGAAGATTTGTTGGTCCCAAACTAACTGAATAAATGTGTGTGATTCCATATGTGTGTGTGTGTGTGTGTGTGTTTATGTGCATGTATATATATATCTTAGATGTTGTTGTTGTTCAATCGTTAAGTCGTGTCCGTCTCTACG